AATGGTAAAAGTATAAGGGAGAGAGAAAACATCAATATGCCAGGAATTAGAGGTGAGAAGAGGGTGTGACTACAAAAAGATTGACAGGGGAGTTTTTGTGGGAGATGGAACTGTTCTGTATCCTGATTGTGGTGGTGGTTACATGGATCTATACATGAGTTACAATGCATAACACTGTGCACCAAAAAAAAAAGTTGTTTACTGTATGCTAATTTTAAAAATTTAAAAATAACAAAACATATCAAGTACATTCATTTAAACAATAGAAAAAAAGTAACAGAGAAAAAGAATATTGTTTCCATTTGCAGATAAAGAAACTGACTTGCCCAAGGTCATTCAACCAATAAATGATAGGTTCTGAACTAGAACCCACATCTTTGAAGGACATCATTCTTTCCCTCTTGCTATATGAGAAATAAACCTTCAAAAGCATAAGCCAAATTATATATTAGTTAGCATGCATTTGGTTGTAACAAAAACCCCAATTCAGAGTGACTTAAACAAAAAAGACATTTATTATTTTACATAACAAGGTGTCCAGTGGTAGGGAGTCATGAGGTTGGTTGATTTTGCAACTCAATGATGTCATAAATGACCAAGACTCCTTCCTTCTTCCACTCTGCCAAACCATAGTTTCATTCTAAGGCTGCTTCTCCTCATGGTCACAGGATGACTGCTGATCTCAGACAGGGGTATATGCTTCTTTGTTCATATCGAGTGGAAGAGAGATCACCAGCAACAATCCCACAGAGCTTTTAACTAAAGTGTGTACTGCATGCAAATGCTGTGGTTTCTTAGGATCCTAAAGATTCCAGACAACCAGCTATAAAAAGTAGTTATGTAATTAGTAACACTCTGAAATAAACAAAGCTTCTCACTGCAGTAACAGCCATATGTCTTATTTGTACAGAGCTCAAATTTGCAATTGATCTTTGGCAATAGCTATGCCGAGGCTCTTAGACACTGTACCTCGTGCTTGGTTAGCATGTTAAATTTTTCCAAGTGGTGTAATAGTTCCTTTTATAAAACCTTTAGTTGGACAGATACGGACTCAGAGTCAGGGGAGTGAAGTGACTTGGCCAAATTCAACATCAGTTAGCGACCCAGCCAGAGGTCACATTTGATCTTCAAATAGCCTTCCCATAATTCTTTCCATCACATTAATTCCCTCTTCAGTGCTTGGATTTCACTAGGGAAGCACAGTAGCAATTTCAAAGAAATATTGCAAGTTCGTACATGATGCTTACAAGCTTTAAATGTCAGGAAACTAACATTTTTTATATCCTCAATGGTAACATTTGGCTATTTGGAATTTTAGACTCAAATGTGACAAGATAAACTTGAAATCCTGGAGTCTCATTAACTTCTCCATCTCCCTTCCCTCAACATTCTATCAATTGTTCTGATAGGTACATTCTAATCTCTAAATCTCTCTTACATCCATTCACTGTTTTCTATTTCCACAGCCCCAGTATATGCTCATGCCCTTGTTATAACACAATATCCTCTGTCTCTTTGCCTCTGTTTTCTCCCCACTGTACTTAACACAATGGTGCTGGATTAATGTTTTCAAAACACAATGCAGATAATGACATATGTCTCCTTGTCTGCCCCAGCTCTAAAACTTTAATAATCTTTCTTTGACTATAGATTAAATTCTTAACTCTATAATCTGGCTTTCAAGGCCCTCAACAATCTGGCTCCAATATTCCTTTCCAAACCTGGAGAGAATCTTTCATTTTGGGTGGGAGTTGTAGGCAGTGGTGTGCTGGAGCCAGCTCGCAATGGCTCGCAAGAGCCAGTCTTACACCTCTCTTCCCAACTCTGTGTTCAGTGATGTCACCTTGGTAGCTTGAAGCTGGCCACGGTGGGAGCATTTACACCACATAGATCAGTCAATGCCACAAATCAGAGGTTTTTTCTTCTTTTCAAGAGCTAGTTATTAAAAATTTACCAGCACACTACCAGTTGCAAAGTAATCAGGACTAAATCTGAGAGTGAGGGTTCAGTATGGTATATGAGACAAAGACGTTGACACTGAAAGCCCAGGTACCAAATCAGAGATAAGAGGGGGTCTGAGGGAAGAGAACAAGAAGCAGAGCGTTGAAAAATTGTTGAGAAGGTAGACCTGGGCCAAGACTGAATTCCCACAGAAGCAGATATTGAGAAAGGTATTTGAGTCAAGTGCTTTATTTGGAAGATGATCCCAGGAAGCACTGGTAGGAGAGAGAAGGACAACGTAGAGAAGGTGGCTAATACAGGGTCCATTGATGAGCAGGTTACTACTGTGGGCAATCGAGGTTCAGTCCCACTGGGGACCTTTAGGGGAGTGTATAAAACATGCCTCATGGTTGCCCACACAGGAGTGAGGAGTAGGTTGAGTTTATCCTCAGGCAGGCAGCTCCGGGTGCTTGCATTAAGAAGTGGCAGGTATGTAGGGTAAGACTGAATGCAAAGGGGATGTGAATAGGACATGGACATTCATGGTTTTATGCTTTTCATAATTTGCTTGGTGTGGCAGGGCTTCATTTAAATGGTGAGTGATGGGGTGAATTGTGAATCATTTGTAGTTATCCCACACACCCTATTTGTTCCTCTCTCTGGGGTCTACCCATAAGTTCCCTCCTTTGCTGTAATATCCTTTGTAGCTCCCTCCAGTTTTGAAAATACTCTCATTCTCCCCAATTCATGAAGGATCAGTGCCACCTCCTCCAGGAACCCCATCTAATCTCTACCTCCACCCCCGATGATGGAAGTGGATGAGGATCAAGCCAAGCTGGAGGCCCTTGGGCCCTGAAGCAAGGGAGCAGGGAACAAGCCCCTCCCCTAGCTTAGAATGCAGAGGGTCGGGGGACAGAGACAGAAGTCGTGCTCTGGAGTCATTCCAAATGGTGAACCTCATGTGGGAAGGGACTCATCACTCCTGTTTATCTCTATATCCCTCACAGCCCACCCAGCACAGAGACCTGGCCTATGATGGTTGCACAATTGCTGTTGGTGGCAGAGAAAAACGAATGAACGGAGGGCTGGGTGAACAAAGGGAACTAGGTAGGGAGCCAAATCAGGAAGTTGAAGTGGAATTAGAGGAGTCCTGGAGTAGGTCAATAAGAGCACCTGGATGAATTCTGAGGACAAATGTCAAACCCGATGAGGTCTTTTTCCACATGTAACACACATGTCAGTGGAGATATGTCTTTTGTGATTCAGTGAAAATACCTTTAACCTCATCTCACTTGTGGTGTAGCTCCTCTCTTCCAATGTCTCTGGGAGTTATGGGAGGTATCAGTTTTTCTTAGTCCGCTCTGGAGGACTGAGCTCCTACCTCCATAGAATTACAAGGGTTTATGAGTTGCTTTGGCATCTCAGAAGTGCTGCCCACATTCTCTACCACGGCACTGCAGATACTTGAAGAAGTATCTTTTTTTTTCTTTCTTTTTGCTGAGGAAGATTGGCCCTGGGCTAAGATCCGTGCCCATCTTCCTCTACTTTGTATGGGACGCCACCACAGCATGGCTTGATAAGCAGTGCATCGGTCTGCGCCCGGGGTCCAAACCCATGAACCCCGTGGACCCCAGGCCACCAAAGTGGAGCACGTGAACTTAACCACTACGCCACTGGGCCGGCCCCACAGATACTTCTTGATTTCTCCCCACGCATTACTCATACGAATTGTTTGTATAGGTAGTACACCTGACTAAAGATATGGGCATGCCGTTGATCTCCTCTCCCTCAGTCTCCCTGCAAACGTTCAATTTCCTTCTCTGTATTACATGGAACAATTTCACTCTCTGAAATCTATCCAACAACTGGCCTGTTTTGCTTCTTCAAAGATGCTTTATGGTCTTTTCAAACAAAGCAGCCATCTATTCTCCCACTTGGAGCATTCACTCTATACCTTCTTACTTCCATGGCTTTGCAAACACTTGCCTCTGCCTGGAATATTCTTTCCAGAACAGAAGATTTGTCAGAGGTTTGGAAATTTCAGTCTTTCCCTCTCTTTATCTCACATCATTCTCTATAAGTAGAAGGGAATAGTGTCAAGATTTATTTCCATGCTGATATTAATTATGACATCACAACCATCCCTGCCCCCGAAGTGGCCATAGTTGGTTTTTAAATAACACTTTTTTTGTATTACATAAACTTCTAGCAAGTGCTTACCTGGGTTTGCTAAAGTCATAAATTGACCAGAAGAGGCAGCCCCCATCCCTTTCCCTCTTCCCCTGCCTCCCACCTTCCAAGCTTAGAGTACTCCCCTTGCCCTGTTATGTGGTAGCAGTTTATCTGGACCTCCCCTATGGGCTTGTATTATGGATATTTATTTACAAATCTTATCATCCTTACTGAACTGTAAACTCACAAAGGTGAGATCATCTGAATTTCTCTGAAATTCCATCCTAGCCCAGTATCCGACACAGAATAGATTTTGAAAACATCCAGTTTATAACTGTGGATGAATGAATGACCATGAAGCTTTGGATGGCCTCTTAGTGATCTGGAGAGGCTACCAGGGGAGGAGCATATGGGACTCCCCTCCCCACTTCTTCTGATTGTGAGTTCCTGCTAGAATTAATAAGCAACAAATTTATTGAAGACCTATTATGTGCAAGGCACAATGGGAGCTCCAGGACTGAGATCTTTTTACTATACCTCTATCCCACTCTAGCTTCTTTCCACCAAAAAATAGCTTCCAGGGCACTTATTTCTATTCGTTTTTGTAGAAAGGCTGGGACTTAGAGGTAGGAAAGTGGTATCACTGGACATACCCAGGGCTGTCACGTCTACATCTGGGGTGTTGCACTGCCAATTCACATTTTCTGAATGAGTTATTTCTATGTACCTTCACAGCAGCCAGCACTGCAGTGCCTTGCATATATTACACGCTCAATGAGTACTTGTCAATTGATTTTGTACAAGTATGTGACAGCGTAAACATATTATGAAAAATGAGGAGCCTGGGCACCAAAAAAGTCAGTATCTCCCCTAAAAAAACACAAGGTGGTGGAGCTTGGCTTAAAGTTCAAATGCTCCTGTACCCTGCCCTGCAGTATCTCCAACCAGGGGAATTTGATAAGGTAGTTGAAGGGTAATATTACCTTTGCTCTCTCACTGCAATCGAAAGCAGCCTCAGCTTTTAGGTGGACCCCACCAGCTATCTTGGTGAGGTGTTTTCAAGAGCATAGAATCATCCTTTATACTATCAAAAGAAGATGCTGTTTAATTTGAGGATCCTGTTGAACAATGCAGCTCTTAGAAATGGTCCCAGTTTGGTGGTTCGAAATTTTCGGTAAGTGATGGCCAGAGACTGGAGTCTGACTTCGGAACCCTGGTGATAAATGAAATTCTATTCTGCAGAGGAGTGCAGCTTCAAAAGGCCTTTTTCTGCAGGGTGTAGTGCCAGGTTTCACCCTTATTTGAGCCAGCTGTCTCTAATTCCAGTTGAGCTTTCATTTATCAGTCCTCTGTAATCAGATTTCATTGTGTGCCGGGGGTGGGGAGAGGGACTAACTGTGGCAGGTATAACAGAGTAAATGTTCTCGACATCGTCTGTTTGTGTACATCCTAAACGAGCAACTGGCTGAAGAAAATTAGAGGAACAAATTTACCCAGGGCCTTCAGCTTGTATTTGGGTTTGCTTGAAAACAATATATCATTCTAGGGCATGGGCGTTAATCAGTTCTTTAAAAAAACAGACCGCAAATAACAACTAGATAAATGTTTGCAAGGCTGCTGCAAAGAAACCTTATATGTGATGAGGATAATGAAATTTTAAAAATAAAATCCAAATTTGAAAACTATCCCTGAAATTCTTGGTAGCATGAAAAAGGAGGCTGTCTCCAATGAATTCATTGTAAAAGTTACATCCTGCTTACAGCCATTGAGCATGTGGTGGAAGATGGTGTGGAGTGTGTCCGTGGGGAAGGGGACGGGGTGATGAGTTAACTGGGGAAGCGAGGCCATCAAATGCCGACACCATTGCCAGAAAGCTTCTTGAGTAGTTGCATGTTAACAATCAGAATTTCCCCAGAGCCTCTTTACAACCTAAACCAACCTCAAAACAACCTCACTGACTACCTAAAGAAGAGGCTTCTAGTCTGAAGTTTTCTCCCACTGTTAGGAAGTAGACCTGTGACAGTGGCCCTGGGCCTCCTTTCTCCGGGCCACCTGGCAGCTCTGGGCTCTCTGGACTCCACCATTAGCATCACTTTTTTGGCGAATATAAGACTCTCAGAAGCTGGAATGACATTGTAAATGATACCGTAAATTAAGCCCATAGTATTAGACTTCGGTGGGACCTCAGAGCCACAGAATAGTGCCTTCTATTATTTTACAGATAAGGTGAATGAGGCCCAGAGAGATTATGGGGTTTACCAATTAGTGCCAGTTAGACCACATAACCCAAGAATCTGGAGGAAAACTCAGGTTTTGAAGTCCAAAGAACTAGGTTCAAGGCCTAGCACCACCACTTGCTGGCTATTTGACTTTGAGCAAGTCACTAAACTTTTCTGTAATGTTGCTTCACCTATAAAATGGGAAAAAGAGTAATCCCTGCTCTGCCTACTTCACAGGGTGGTTCAATCATTCATTTAATAAATGCTTATTGAGCACCTACTTTGTGCCACTTCCTACGCAAGTGTTGGAGATACAGTGGCAAATAAGGTAAATAAGATATTTCATTCCAGACACATGAAGTCACAGTCTAGTGATAATCAGTGAGATCATGTGTGTGAAAACTGTAAAGTGACAGACGAATGTTCATTATTTTATTATTACATCCCACTGAGTTACATCAGATAAAAGTGTGATGAAATTTTATTCCATAGTTTTTAACAAAGAATCCTCACTGAGCTGAAAATAATCAACTGAATGCACAACCAAAGCTTGGAACTTAAACTTATACTCTTCTTTGAAAATTACAGTGATGACTGACTTTTTTAAACAATTATTACAGGTTAAATTTTTGAAAGCAAAACGTCTTCCAAATATTTGGGCTTTTTTGGTATTTACTAATATTCTATTATCTATACCCAGTAGCCAGACTAAAATTCTGAAAATCCTGACTAGCTGTCTCTCACAGTGAACGGGGCTGAGGCAAAAGCATGGCTAAATCAGCCCAAATCCATACCTGCTAGTTGAGAATATGAAAGCCTTGAATCACCCAGGTTATTAGAAATTTAAGAGTGTGAGTCTCCATTGAGAAATGGATCATGTTGAAATGGTGTCATTCTCTGTGGCAGGGGTATTTTTCTTTCCCACTCTTTTAGTTAGCCACACTACCTGCTAGCTAGATGAATTCAGAATTGCTGACCTCCAATAAGACCTACAGCCTTTCACGACCTCTAAACAACAGAGAAAAGCTCCCTGTCAACTCTGCCTAGATTGTATTTTTGCTTTGATTTTCAGCCTTTCACAGAGATTTGAGTTCTTTTTTTCCCATTTTTCTTAGGAAAGGTGGAAGGCCCTTGTTATAAAACATACTACATGAGTTTAATACTAGAGAGTAGTAGGAAATATGTGGTTAGGGTTTGGCAATGCCACAAAACAGGGACTGCACAGTTTTGAAGTGAGCATCCATATCGCTATAGACATGATAAAATAACAGCTTAAGTGAGGCTGAAACCATCCAGCAGGCTCCTGGATCAATCATTTTTAGTGAATTATTATTATTTTTTTACAAAATCAATAAGATCAGACACCAAGACTGCCGAAAATACCCAATCCATAGGCTTTTCATCTCACAAACAAGGCTCTAGAGCCTGGCTGTGTTTGGATAATAGACAGTGTCCCATGATTTGTTGCCTATTAGGAAAACCACTTATAGCTTTTAAAGAAACCACTAAAAAAATCTCTTTCTTTATCAGAGAAGACCAATTTGTAAGTGCAGTTCAATTTCATCTCACAAATAGAAATTTCTTCAGAGAATATTGAGCTAAGCCACCCAATTCTGAGGAGGTTAAGGATTGGAGCCAGAGGTGACTGGTAGTCAGGTATTTCATTCCAGAATTCTCTGAGGGCTTACATAACTCATTATGTTCCCTTCATCCCACACACATGCCCATTTAGACACACGTGGACACACAGACGAAGTGATTACAGGCCATCCATGCTCTTGCGTAGAGATGAGAAAACAGTTCTCTTTGATATTCACATTTTCTGTTACAACTTAAAATGAATGTCTTTTTGAAAACATATTTCTTGACTTCAGAAAACTGTATAAGGCATGAGACCCAGAATGGAATGGGATCATGATGTTTCCCTTGGCCAACAGTAGAATTTGGGCTTTATTTCTAGTTTGTTATTTTTAGTAATTTAGTAGTTTAACTAGGATAAAAGAAGTAGAGGCAGCCACAGATTTTCCACAGTTTTGGGTTTCCAGCCCTTTAATAGTAGGTCTACACAAAGCTAACCCTCATCCCACTCTTCAATTTTCAAATGAGGGGAAGTTTTACCGTTTTAGAATATTAACAATCTAAGATATCTTAGAAACTACCTAGTCACCCAGTTATCAATAGTAATTACCACATATGAGTACTATGTGGCAACAGCGAGAAAGGTTGCAAGTAAATTTTTATGAATAAATTCTTCTTATTATTGTTAATAATGTAAAGAAATGTGGAAATGATTTGTGCTTTATTTTTCAAATCAATACCATCAGATTCAAGGGTTTTGTGAAAATAAAGTCACTCTCCCTTGCATGCATTGCAATATGCCTTCTTGAGATGGAAAGAAAAGGATGAAATTAAAGTTAGGCCACTGAGAATTCAGATGGCTCCAGTATGGCCCGTGGGAAATCTTTTTTTTTCCCCAGTTTTATTGGGAGGGAAATCCTGTGTTTATAAACTTCATGTGTGTTTTGGAAGACAAAGACATGAAGAATCACTGATTTTTAGTTCATTTTCTTAATTTTTCAGATGAGGAATTGAGGGTAAAGATGGAAAATGACCTTCCCAAGGTCATAGTTGAACTAGGGCTAGAATTTGAATATCTAAAACCACTGCTCTTTTCATTCCACTGCTTTACTTTGATCCTTCCAAATTGATCAAGTTGGCCAATTTACCCTTGCACAGTATCCTTTTTTAGATATAGCCAAAATATCTAAGAAAAAAAAACACACACAAAGAAAACATGTCTTAACTGTTGCATCAATCTGCAACATTAAAGAAATACCAAAATCGCAGCCATAAGGCCCATTGGCCCTCTCTTATGTCTCCAGAAGCTAAAGTCTTTATCTTGAATTCTCCATGGGGATCAAAATATCATTTAACGCTGAATTTTTCCTACTCTGGCAAAGTCTGTTTCTGACTGACCGCATTTTCCTCGAATCAGGCACTTTCTCTTCCAACAAAATACAGTTATACAAGGGCACACATCCAGGTCTCCCTTCATGCTCCAAACAGTTTACCAGAGTTGGAAAAAGCAGACTCTAGCAATGAAAGGTTTCATTCTGCCAAGAGAGAATACTCTTCCATTTTCTAGCTAGGAAGATATTTGGGTAAAGCTAACACAAAGATCTACTATTACCTTGGCTTAACTTCTTAGCATTCAGTGATTTGGGGGTTGAGAAATCTCTGCAATTATTTTTTTCAAGGCATAAAATTAATGAAAGGAACTAGTCTTGCCTTTTTCAAAAGCTCCGGCTTTAACCAAACTGCAACGACAGTTTTGACAGAAAATCTGTACGTGGTTCCCAGTGTTTTCTCCAATATTGTATCTCCCATATTATGCATTGGCTGAAGAATGATAATGTGGTTTGGGTCTGGTTTACTAAGGAGACACACTTGAGTACAAGAAGACCCAGCATTTTCATGAGAACACTAAACTAGTGATTCTGGCCCTCGTTTGGGTGCTTGTGAACCAGAAGAGGCTGCCTGCAACTGAGGCATGGGGTCTCTATGAGAACTTAATGGCCATTTATGCCAGTGGTTTTATCTGGCTAATTCGAGTGTGGGTTTATCACCAGAAAGCAAGAAATGCTTGATACAGATCAGGAAAAACGGGGCCTGTGGAGGAGGCATTTCAACATAGCACAATTGTGGAGCTCTTCTACTTTTCTCTAATTTTTAGTAGCTTAGGAAAGAGGTGTGGCAAGACCATTTTGGAGCCAAGGGGAGGTCTAAGAGGAGATAGTAAACAGGATAGGAATTTAAACTGGCACCATTGTGTTTGCTTTCCTTCCAGTGATAAATTTTCCTGGTTAGCTCTTGATATCTATGAAAAACAGCTCTTTTTCCCAAGCGAACATTTCCTGCTCCACCTCCTGGATAGAATTGAGAAAGGTGGTGGCGA